GCAGGAGCAGGAGAAGGGGCAGGAGCAGGGGCAGGACCTGGGACTGGGGCAGGAACAGGGGCCCAGGGAGGGACATGGGAAGGGGCAGTGGTCCTGGCAGGGGAAGGGGCAGGGGCAGGAAGAGGGGCAGGACATGGGTGTGGGGCAGGAATAGGGGCAAAGGCAACAGCAGGGGAAGGGGCAGGGGCAGGGGCAGAGGCAGGATCCAAGGTAGGAACTGGGTGTGGGGCAAGAACAAGGGCAGAGGCAGGGGAAGGAGCAGTGGTCCTGGCAGGGGTTGGGGAAGGGGCAGGAGCTGGGTCTGGGGCAGGAACATGGGCACAGGCAGGGGAAGGGGTAGGGGTACTGGCAGGGGCACAGGCAGGGCAGGGCAAGAGGCAGAGGTCCTAGCAGGAGCAAGGGAAGGGGCAGAAGCTGGGGCAGGGGCAGGAGCAGGGGCTGAGTCTGGGGTAGGAATAGGGGCAGAGGCAGGGGCAGGGCAAGTGGCAAGGGCCCTGGCAGACTCAGGGGAAAGGGCAGGGACAGGGGAAAGGGCAAGAGCAGGGGCAGGGACTGGCAACCCCAGGATCAGGAACGGGGGCCCAGGCAGGGGCAACAGAAGGGGCAGGGGCAGCGGCAGGGTTTGGAGCTGGGTCAGGTGCCCTGGTGATGGCTGGTGCAGGATCCAGGGCAGGAGCTGGGCCTGTGGCAGGAGGAGGGGCCCAGGCAGGGGCAGGGGCAGGGTCCAGAGAGGAGCTGGAGCAGGGGCAGGGCCTGGGGCGGGAGCAGGCACCAGGTCTTCCTGGGCAGCGTCAGGTTCTCTGTGGCCCGGTTCCTGGTCCCCTGCCAGCTGTTGGTCCCCGGCTGAGGTGGCAGCAGGCACCGTCCCCCAATGCCCAGCTCCTGCTGATGTCAGGGCCGGCCCGAGCTCCTTGGATGGAGCAGCTGTGACAGGAGAGAAGGTCACCCGCGTGCCTGCCTCTGCGTGTGCCTTGGCACAGACGGGACCCAGCCCGGGGCCTCCCAGAGAAGCCGGAGCCGGAAAGGAAGCCTCAGCGGGACGGCTCCCCGAGTGCTGGGTGCTCTGAGCCCAGTCCCTGCTCCTGGCCCCACACCAGCCTGTGGGGCTCGTCCCTGTGCGGCCCAGCACCGACCCATCCCCACACACCCCCAGGCACCCAGCCCCGGCCTTCTCACCCTCACGCTGGGCTTCCGCAGGTGGCCTGGGAGGTTCGGAAGCCTTTCCTGGGACTGCGGACTCCTGGGTCAGAGAGGAGGTCATGTCCGCCTGCCTCTTCTCCTCATCCGTGGCCTTCTGCAAAGACAGGGACCGGTCGCCGGCCCAGACACATCACAGCCCTGCCCGGCCGACCCCACTGTCCTCTTGCCCAGTTCCCCTGCTGCTCCCACATCAGACACAGACCTGTGTGTGCACAGCCCTGCACCCGGGACCGGGACACCTGCAGGGCTCTCGGGTTCAACCCTGGCCAGGAGCTCGCATCCCCCACACCCCGTCCCACCCAGCCAGCCTTGACCTTGAATGGGACCTGCCCACCGGGCATCTGACCCCTCATCCACCTGCTCCTGCTCAGGAAGGCCCCACCCCACATGAGTCCTCCTTCCACACACATGCATGCACACCCACACTCACACACGCACACACACACTCGCACACGCGCGCGCGCGCACACATACACACTGGCACACACACACACACACACACACACACAGGGGGTTAGGGGACTCGGGGCTGCGCCCGTCGATGAGAGCTTGTAGGGCTGGGTGGCCGGCTCTGGCCTCCCGGTGTCACCTTTCTCTGCTTTCGGCCGAATGCCCAGAGGCGTCGGGCAGCCCTGAAACGACCTCCCGAGCGAGGGGAAGTGTTTGCCGGACGCGCAGTCCTCTGCCTCCAGCGTCCCGCGTTGGGGATGCAACATGCGAATGTGTTGTTGGTCGGACGATGTCCAAGGCAATGAGCTGGGAGGGGGCGTCCCTGGAATGTGGGTGCCTGGTGACGCGGGTTCCAATTCTGTTGGGCTCTGTGGTCAGGGAAGTGAGGTCACCACTTCCTGGAGACCCCTTCCCTGACTTCCTCTTTATACCAGAGCCTTCTCCGGTTCTGGAGGAAGAGGGACATCCTCTGCTTCTCTAGGCATGGGGTCCTCTGACCCACGAGCAGCCCCTGGAAGGTTTCTAGTCTGACTCTGGAAGTGCACTGGCACTGAGTGGGCCAATCACTGTCCACACATGGACACGGTAACGTGCTAAGGAAGCGCCAATGGCTTGTGGCCGGCGGGGCTGGCGGCTTCAGTGCCCTCCAGTGGGCCCCCTCTCCCTGGATGGGAATCCCCCTGGAGCCTCTGTCTTCAGCGCTCTCTTTCTGCTGGTTTCAGGACCGAGGGAGACACCGTGGTATGGCTTAGAAGGCTCCACCCCGGCCTCCCGCCTTCTGCACACATCACTTGCTCCCCAAGAAGCAAGGTTGGTTCGAGGCACTCATTCCCTCCAAGGCCCAGCCGCTCTGCTCTGTTACATACATGGTGGCCACGGCTGCCTGGCTGGGCCAGGAGTCCCAGGAGAGCTCTCCTTTCCTCGGATCAGGGTTCATATTTCTGGCCAGAGAAAGAAGTCCCATCTGTCCTCTGCTAGAGCAGGTGAACTCCTGGGCCGGGTGGGGTGGCCCTCAGGTGCCTGAGGACATGGGGGTCCCCTTGGAGAGAAGGGTGATGGGCACCCCTGTCTGAGAGAACAGGGAGCCCCACCCTTCCCCGGCCACAGGGGCACCCATCATCTAGCAGTGCTCAGCCTGGGACTCACCCCGGAAACTTTGGCACAGGTTTCTCACAGTTGTAGTGTCAGGAGTACTCAGCACAGTGACAGTGGGCAGAGTAGGGGCCAGTACTAATGCCCATGGACGATGGCGTCCAGGGTCCTGGTGCACAGGGTGGAGGGAATGGTCTGAAGCAGGGAGGTGGGTGCGGGTCTCTCTGTGCCGAGAGGCAGACCCTGGGGTCATCTGCTGTAATGCTCGGGACCCGCCGTCTGCATCCAGGGGCTGGCACTGCCCATTCTGAAAGCAGGTCCCACAATGGTCAGGCCTGTTTTCCTGTGGCTGCAGGGAGCGGAATGAGGAGGACAAGCCTCACGGCCTGGGGCTCCCTCCCAGCCTGCGGCCGACCTGTGGACCCCCGGAGGCCGTGTGTGGCTTGGCTTGGCATGCACAGCAGGGGAGCCTCCCTCTGGCCTCTGCTGCACAGCCCTACCATCCCTGTCCCAAACCCCAGCTCCGCCATTACAAACCGGGGGACCTGGGGGAGGGTCTTCTCCCTGGGGCCTAGATTACCGTGGGGACTGTGGAGAGAGGACAGGCCCCAGGCTTCTGCACTGCGGGTGGGTGCATTCCAGGAAGCCGGACAGATATGCAGCTGGGTGGGGCCTGGCTCCAAGGTTGGCCTCCCCCATCTGCCCAGGAGGGCCTGCTGCCACCTCATTAGGCCGCTAATGGGCACCCGAATCCCTGGGAGACCAATTCGGAGCTCCTGGTATGTGGCAATGGGACATGCGCCGGGCATGGAGAGAGCGCTGGGGAGGGTGGGGGGAAGATGCCTTCTTAGATTGAGACGCTCCTTCCGCTACCTCCATTGTGGGGCCCGGGCTGTCCTTTGTTGAGCGTTCTCTGTGGGCAAGAGTGCACCCCGGGGTCCTCATCAGCTCAGGCCACGTCCTCAGGTCCTGAGCTCAGCTCTGACTGGGGACCCTGCCTGGGACTAGGGGACCTGGGATCCTGGGCCGGGGTGTGGCCGAGCTGAGGGACGCACCCCTTGACCCCCAGAAACTGTTCAAGAAGGCGGTGCCCTACCACTGCCTGGCTCCAGCTGGTCCCAGAGGGACAAGAAGGGCCGGGAGCACCTGGCTCCCTCCGTCCAGCCATCATCACCGGGGTAGACGTCAAGCACGCGGCCAGGGTGACACCAGCCCAGCCTGGCCCCTAGAAGCCGGGGCCCTGCTGCTCCTTCTGTCCGCCCTGCACTTGCAAGGGGACAGCACCGCACCTGCCCCTGCTGCCCTCCCCCGCCAGTGGGAGAAGCGTCCGAGCGGGTGACGCAGTGGTCCCGCAGGGGCTCGCGGGGACTCGCGGGGGCTCGCGGGGAGGGGTGCGGGCAAGGCCCCGAGAGCCCCACGCCCTTCTGCAGGGAACAGGGGTGGCAGCAGCCGCGGTGCCGCTCGCGGGTGCGGACGGGCACGTCGGGGGCCCCGTCGCGCGCGGACGTGCGTGGCGCCCAGACTCTGCCCGCCTCGCGCTGTCCCGCCACCCCCGGGACCCGGCCCGCGGGCCCCCGCCGTCGTCGGGGTCCCACCGTCCCGGAGGAGCAGGGACTGCCGCCCGCCCCGGACCGAGCTGCAGGACAGCGGGAATTCCCGCCCGCGGGGCTTGCCTGCCTCTGGGGGCCCCCGGCGCCCCCAACGCCCACCCCGGCCCCGCCCCCGCCCTCCTCCCTCCACGCGACCCGCGAGTCCTGGCGCCGGCAAGACCGGGAGGGACCGCTAGAGGGCGCGGCGGAGGGCGGCGGACGGCGAGCGGCGAGCGGCGGCGCGGTGTGACCCTCGCAGGGCGCCGTACGGCCTATAAAAGGCGCGGCGCGCGCTCCGCCGTCCTTTCCCCACGGCCGCTGCAGGCTTGTTGAGGCGGCCGCGGGTGGCGGGCCTTGGGCGGCGGCTGCTCCGGGGGCCGTTGGCTCCTCGGCGGTCAGGCAGCGGCCAGGTAACGGGGTTGGCCGGGCGGGGCGGGGACCGACGGGAGGTGTGGGGAGCGCGGGTGCCCGACTGCCTGGCCCCGGGCTGGCTGCGGGCGGACCGCGGCGCCGCGACCCCGGCGGGCCGGGCAGGGGCTCGGGGACGCGCGGTCCCGGGGCAGCGTCTCCGGAGGGCGGCGGTAGGTAGCGCTCGGCCCCCCGGTGCCGCGGCCACGGGGTCGTCGGTCGGGGCGGGCGTCCGTGATCCGCGGGGCCGGGGACCCGCACGCTGCCCCCACAGGCGTTGCAGGTGTGGCTGTCGCCGTGTCCCATCTGTGTCACCGGTGGCAGAGAGGAGCGGGGCTTGTCTACGCGGCGTCCCAGTTGGGGCGTCGCCGTGGTTCGCGGCCCAACAGTCGAGCGCGCGCGGGGAGCCTGGCTCTGGGGGGCGGTCGCGCTCACGGTCCGAGCGCCCCGTCCTGCGGCCCCAGCACGCACTAGAGGTCACGGTCTGCGGTCTGACGTGGGCGGTGACCCTGCCCCCTGCAACGGTGCGGGGCACGGGTGGTCCGCCAGGGACCCCTGCTCTCCAGCCGGGAGACTTCCTGGTGCGTCCGGGACCCCCGGCCTCGTGTGGATGGCGGCTTCGAGCGCTCCGGGAGAGGCTGCGGGAGGCCCCTGGCCACGCGGCGGTCTCCCGGCCTCGCGACTGGGTGCTACCAGTACAGGTTGCTGTCCTGTCCCGACCTGCACTGCGGCTGCCCGGGGGCCCTGACAGGCGACAGCAGGAGTGACGGGTTCCCTTGTCCCTGGCAGCCTTCTCCGCCCTGGAACCCTAGCGGTGGACAGAGGACGGATGCTGCGCGGCGGCTTGTTCCCGCTGCGGCCTGGCCCGGTGACAGCCGGCTTCTGTTACACTTTTGTCCCTTAATACAGGAAGGAGGGCAATGCCCGGCCCACGGACGGAACCAGAGGAGCTGCCCGCCGGCATCCCGAACCAGGTGGGCGACGGGGCTGGCCTCCAGGTGGGTGGCTGGAGCGCGGGGTTGGCGGCCCCACAGGTGCTGGACCTGCCGGCACCCCGGGTCCAGCTGCTCTGCTGCACCTGGGACGTCGGGGCAAAGAGCAAGCGGCTATTTCTACGCTCAGTGCTCAGAACAGTGAGCGCTAAGAATGGTTTGTAGCCGGACATGCCCCAGAGCTGCCGCGGGCGCGTGCCAGGCGCCCCTGGTGTCGGGCTTCTCCCAAACGCCTGGGTTTTCTGACGCGTCCGTCAGTGAGCCGTGCCGGGTACGAGCGGGCGGCCGGCTGTGGACACAGCTGCATGGGCCAGGAGAGGGTCTCCTTTCTTGAGATGGTCCCTCTGGAGCGCTTTCCGGAAGTCATGCGTCCCTGGCTGAGAGCTGCTCCCAGTGGCCTGGGGTCTGCCATCACTCCCTGCGTGGGCTCTGGGCCTGTGCCCACGGACACCCCTGCTTTGAGGACCCTTGAGACAGGCAGTGCTGGAGGCAGGTCTGGTCAGGCTGGGGAGGGGGAGGGACACAACTGAGCCCTGTAAACCAGGGCGGGCGGGGGGGGACTGGCCTTGGGAACCCCTATGGGGGGACGGGTGTGACTCGGGCATTGCTGTCTTCTTGCAGGGGGATAGCTCAGCACGGTACCCGCAGGCGAGACGCGGGCAGGCTGCTCGGGGAGAGGCTCACCGATTTCAAGGTAAAAAAAAAAAAAAAGATACTCAGCATTTATTTTCTAAAACGTTTGCAGAACTTCGGGGTGTTGGGAAGTGGTCCCGTTTGCGCAGCAGGTGGAGCTGCTGGGCCGGGGCCGCAGGGGCTGTCACAGGAGCAGACACCGTTCCGGATTCCAGAAAATGCAGGCGGGCGAAGGCAGAGAGGTGGGGCCCAGGGGTGCTTTGCAGGGGCGCACCCCAGCTTGGAGGCCCCAGGACTGTCCGCGCGGCCCTGCGTGTGCCTTGTGTAGTGGGCAAAGGGTGAGCGGGCGTCCCCTGCACCCTCGTGCCCTGATTCTTAACCCCCCAGCCATTGTGTTCCAGGGGGACGTAAAGTCTTTGCAGAGTTTTCTAACTGCTAGAGCCCGTGATGCTCGTTTTTTTTCCCTTTAAGACTGACTGATTTCAGAGCACGAGCCTGGGGGCGGGGCTGGGAGGAAGGATGGGGCGGGGGGGGGGGGTCTGAAGCAGAAATCTAGTCAGACCCTCGACCGACGGAGTCACGTCCCGGTTCGAAACTGCTTTTTGTGCCATATTTGGATTATCCACTGCCCACCCCGCAGGGGAGAAAAATCTAGATGGGGGAGAAAGTTATTTTTAATGTAAATAGGATGAGTTTTAGGAATTACTACTAACGATGTGGGTATTACAGTTGAAATTTTGGAATATGTTTTTTAGTAAAAGTGTTTCTCTTTTGGCAAAACTTGAGAATAAATTGGTCTTAAATAAACCATCTTAACACTTGGCTTTTCCTCGCAGTGTGATTAGCTGAGGCCCGAGCAGGAGGATGGTGGGGGGGAGCCGCACGGTGTCCGCCTGGGTCCCCGCATCGCCTTTCCAGGCATTGTAACCACTCGCTAAGCCTGCAAAGGTCAGCGGCCCCCAAGGACTTAAGGAGGAGACTCTGGCCCACCACGACCCGGGATGGGGGTGCAGCCCTTCCCCCAGCTCCCTGAGCCTCCTGGGGTCTGCCTTCCACTTCCCAGAACGGAGGCAGAGGGAGCCACCTGCACTGCCCCTTGGGGCGGGACAGGGAGATGGTGGTGGGTTTCCACCTAGTGGTTCCTGGGTGTCTGTTGAAGTCCTGCGTGGCCAGCACGGCTGGAGAGCGGCTGGAACAGGAGCAGCCCGTTCCTGGTAACCGCTCGTTGCCAGGACACCTGGTCTCCCTTGGTACCTTCTTGGGAACCATACCACAGTCCAACACAGAACATGTCCGCATCTGGCGTGCCCATCACCCCCTCTCGCGCCCCCTCCACCCCCCGCCCCAGAATGTGGCTCTAGGAGAGGCTGTACCTGTGCTGCCCTCTGAGGCCTGTCTGGCGGACTGGGACCCAAAGGACCACACTGTGTTCCGTCTGGCCTGGGCAAGGGCAGCCCCCCCCTTGGAGCCCACCGGGCCGATGGTGGGTATGGGAGGTAGGTCCAGCGTGGTGGGAGGGAACCCAGGGACACTCACAGAAAAGCGGTTTATTTACATCACACGTTCTTCGGAATGACCGAGGTCCTGGTGGGTCCTCCGGCCAGCCCTTGTGGTCTGGCCCCAGGCGCTCCTTCCTGCCCCCACCCCCGTACCAGGCTGCGTGGCCCGGCCGTGGCTGGGGACCCCGGGGCAGCCATCACGAGTACCTGGTGTTGGAGATCTCCTTCCAGAGCAGGGTCTTGAGGTGGCTCAGCACCAGCGAGTGGTGCGCCTCCACCTGGCTGGCCAGCCCGCTCAGCGTGGTGCAGGTGCGCAGCTGGCGGCCCAGCTCCTCCCGCAGGTCGGCAGGTGCGCCGGGCAGCAGGTAGTCCCTCAGCAGCTCGCACACCTTGGCCAGGTTGGGCTGGATGAGGTCGCCCTTGCACTGGCGCACGAGCTTGTCGCAGGGCGCCCTGCAGTCCCGGCCGTAGGTGCAGTCGGCGCTGTGCCGACAGGGCCGGCCCTGCAGGAAGCGGCGCACGGTGGCCTCGGGCGCGACCTGCTGCAGGTCCGCCATCTTGAAGTCGTACTGGGCCGTGTAGCCCACGTTGGCCAGCGTGGTCTCGCACATGTAGAAGGTCCCGTAGGCGCCGTGGAAGAGCTCCTCCACGAACTCCAGCAGCCCGATGGCGATCTTGGCCCTCCAGGGCCACGCGGGCCCCAGCCACTGCTGGAGTGCCGTGTGCAGGGCAGGGGGCAGCAGCGGGCGCAGCAGGGTTGGGAGAGCGGCTCCGTGCCAGGAGCTGTGGGGGACCCCCTCGGTGACATAGAGGTCCCCGCAGGATCCCAGCAGCCGGGACGCATGCTCCTCCTGGAGGGACAGCAGCAGCAGGAACTCATTCCGCTGGAGCAGGGCCCACACCGACTTGGCCTCGGCCAGCGATACCCTGCTGTCCTTGTTGAAGTCGGCCATGAGCAGGACCTGTCCGACCAGTGCGGGCAGGGAGGGCAGGTCTCCCAGATTTGCCTGACATTTGGGACCCAAAGAAAGGGAGACTGAGTCATTTCAGGGCCAGCAAGCGTAGCCTGGTGGTGGGTTTCTGCGTTGGCAGATGCCACCTTGACCTAGTTGGCTCGGACCCGGGAGTCCGCCGGGCGGGCTGCACATGGGACCCCAGTGCTTCTGCCAGCTTGGGAGAGCCTGGCATCCAAGCGTGCATGGAGGGAACCACCCAGGGCTGTGGGAAGCCCCCCCTTGCTGACCACAGGAGCATCGTCCTTTCTCCAGGAGCTGCTCCTGGGGCTCCATGTCCCCATGTCTCCGCTGGTGCTCAGGGAGCTGGGGGCTGGGCACTTGGGTCTGCTCCCACCCTGCTTCCCAAGTGGAGAGTTCTCACGCCTCCCAGATACCCTGGGTGGGTTGGCCTGGGGCCGGGGAGACTAAAGGGGTCCTTGGCACCCAGTCATTGCTCACAGACCCTGAGGTCCAGCCAGATGCCTGGACACTGCTGTGGCTCCCACCAGTCTGTCTCCTGCCCTGGTCTCCATGGCCCCCAGGAGCCAACTGACCTTGAGAAAGCTGAGGGTCATCTCTCGGAACTCCTTGATTGACGTGCCCCGGGTGGGCTTGTTGAACAGCAGCAGCTCCTGCCGGGGGGCTGGCTCCGACCTGGCCTTGGGGTCCAGGCCCTCCTCAATGCCACACTTAATGGTCACCTCCTTGCCCTGCCACAGCCCACTGTACACCTGCATGGGGCCACAGGAGCCCTCAAGCTGACGTCCCCTCCCGCTGCCCCCAGGGTGACCCCAGCCAGACCCCGCAGGGCTCACCTGCCGCCCTGGGACGGAGGACAGACATGCTCTCCACTCCACCTCGTGCAGACTGCACAGGTCCTGGCAGATGGAGCCGGAGATGATGCCCTTGCGGTACTGGTCACACTGGGCACAGGAAGGAGAACCAGGAAGTGGCCTGAGGCCGTGGGGCCCCTCCCCCAGCATCCACAGGTTGCAGGTGAGGCCCCTGGTTCCTCAGCCGCTCCAGACCACCACAGCTGGGAACCAGCAGCCTTGGGCCATACCTGACCACGCAGAGGGTCAGGGCCCCCGCCCCGCTGGCAAGACCCTCTGCTCCCTGCGGCGAGGTGCACGAGTCAGGGTTCCCCCCCCCCCCACATGTGCTCTCCCCTGTAGCAGGAAGTCGGAGCAGCAGAGCCTGGGACACCATGGGGCCCTGCCCCTGCCCTGAGGATGGTGGAGGGGGCTGAGCCAGGCCACCTCCTTAGCCAGATGCCCTGGGAGCTGCTGGCGGCCAGAATCAGGCTGGGCTCTGGGCTCAGAGCTCAGAGCAGCGGCTGCTTCCCTGCAGTCCCCTGATCCCTGGGTCTGAGCTGACACAAGCAGGAAGGTGGGGAAGCCGGAGGTGATGGAATCAGGTCCGCCCCCCCCCCCCCCCCCGGGGGGGGGGCCCTCCGGGGCCCTGGCGGGGGGGGGGGGGGGGGGGGGGGGGGGGTGTGCCTTCCTGGTAGAGCATCAGCGTTGCCATGGAGCCCGGGCCTTTGCGCAGCCGGGCTGGGAGGAAGGAGAGGGGAGTGAGTGGGCAGTGTGCAGAGCAGGGTGCCACCAGAGTGTGGGGAGGACGGAGAGCAGGCCAGGGCCAGAACCAGAGGCCCCACGAAGAAGGCATCTGCGTGTGGCATCGGAAAGCCACGGCCACTCATCAGGACGGCAAAGCAGCCGTGAGGAAACCCATTCCACCCACTTGTAAGGGGTTCCACAGGGGGTTGACTCTGAGCCCCAGAACCACCCCCCCAGAACTGCAGGGCCTTTGAGGGGACTGGCTAAGGATGGGCTTCTGCCCGGCACCAGCCCTCCTCACCTGTGGCAGGGAAGGAGCCTGGCTGCCTCAGGCAGAGGGGGTCAGTGTGCCCCGCGGTCCTGGCCCATCAGGCTTGGGGCAAGTCGCCTGCCCTCCCAGCCCGTTTCCCACCTGCAGGGGAAGGAGTACCTTCCAAACACCCAGAGCCCATAGGAACCCATGACCCCTGGTCCACCCTTGGACACACTATGAACCCCCACAAAGCAGGCAGGTTTCCTCTGGAAAGGAGGGGGCATCCCCACAGCCTAGGGACACCCCAGGGAAATGCCCCAGGGACACAGTTTACTCGGGCTCAGAAATACCCGCCGACCCTCTAGGCTGCTGCTCCCTGCACCCCCAGGCCAGACTCCCCCCACCCCCCCGCACCCTCATTCCTGCCCTGTGTCCCTCCCACCCCCAGAGCTCCCTCCAGCTCTCACCTGCCTCTCAGGGCCAGTGGCCACATTGCCGGCTCCTAGCCCTCCCCAGCCCCATCCTCACCCTGAGCAGTCCAACAGCAGGGCCTCACCAACACCCCCCCCCCACCATCACTCACACACACACACCCCCGACCAGAGGCTCCAGGTCAGGCTCCTTACCTGTCTCCCAAGCCCCTGGACTGTGAGGGCAAAGCCATCAGTCCAGTGCCCAGCTCAGGCCTGGCCCCTGGAGGCCACCGGTGAGCTGTTCTGAAGCATGCTGAGAACAGGCAGGAGAAGGCCTTTCCCCCGAGCATGGGCACGGCATCTTCGGTGCCCTGTGCCTGCCCAGCCCTCTGGGAGGGTACTCTGCCATCAGTCGGGGGGGGGCTGGAGCCCCCCTGGCCTCCTGTAAATCCTGTCGCAGGGGTTTTCCCACCTCTGGGCTTCCCAAAATTGGGCCCTGTGGGACCTTGGCCAGAGCAGGCCTGCCTGCGCCCTTCCATGGCCAATGTCAGTCCCACAGAGTCCCCCAGGAGAGGGGACCCTCTTCATCTTACAGCAGGAGGAGCAGCTCCAGGCCCGGCCTGGGGCATCAGAACCCCAGCCATCAGCTCACTGGGGTCTTCAAACTGCCTGGGAAGGCCGGCCAGGGTGCAGGGCCGGCTCAGAAGAGTCTGGGCCTTGCCAGGGCCGCTGGGGCTGGTGTGTCTGGTCCCTCCAGCCCAAGTCACGGGGTGTCCACTAGGGTTGCACCCGTGAGCCCACGTGCCTTCCTGTGTACAGGCACACACAGGCTCATGACCCCTTCTCCCTCATGGGCACACCCATGGATGCACACGTCTCACTCTGAGGCCACGGGCTGCCATTGAGCACGTCCCCCCACCCCTTGTTCCCTGCAAGGATCCTACCCACGGCCTCCTTTGGTGAACCTCTGGCCCCAGGAGGTGCACTCAAGGTCCCCAGCATCTGTCCATCCCAGGCTCCCTGCTAAAAGTCCTCCCTGCACACATCTCTGACCATCCCAGCCCTACTCTCCCATGCACCTGCAGCCCCCCCCCACCACACCCACCGCCCTCGGCTGCATCTCAAAGTCCCCCGCTGGTCCCTCTGAGCATCCAGGGCCAGCTCTAAGTGGCCCCTGCGCACGGGCCAGCACCAGGCAGGGAGGAGTCCGGCCGCAAGGCTGGCCCAAGGCGACACTTACGATAACCACCTGGCAGACGTGCCCTCGGCAGAGCTCCGCGTAAGACGAGTAGTGCACGTACACCATCCAGCTGCCCACAAAGACGCCCAGCCAGACCAAGAAGACGTACTTGACCCTGAGGCCTGGGAGCCGGCCCTGCTGGGAGAGAGGCCAGTGAGGGAGTGCCACATTCGGGGTATGGGTGCCCCCACCGGCTGACCCCTTGGCGCCGGCACCCTGCCCAGCTCCAACTTCCGAAGCAGCCCAGCAGACAGGTGTTCCCGGGTCTTCCTCCCCGGCCCCCTGCATCCTCAGTGCGCCCACTCTGGGGCGAGGGCCTGGGCCTGGTGCTCCCAGATTTTACATCTCATGAGCAGGCAAGAATAGATCTCAGGCTGCAGGGGAACACACAGGAGGCGACTCTGTTTTGATGAATAAGGATATTTTTAACAAATTTCCCTCCTAGCTCATTTGATAGTGACCTTTAACCTCTGCACAAGGTCAGGCTGGACAAGGTCAGGCTGGAAAATCCCTTGCCCCCCACCCCCGTACGCCATCCTCTGACCAGTGGGCAGTTGCGGCTGAAGCAGGCCCAGCCCGGGATGGGGGGGTGTCGGTGGGGACAGCAGGTGGAGGCTGCGGGTGAGCAGGGCAGGCCTCAGCGGCCCAGCTGCCCTGTGAGCCTTGAAGAGACAACACCTCGGACACCGCGAGTAGGCGGCATTGTCCCCAGAGCCAAAGAGGGACGCAGCCCAAGCGTCCACCGATGGCTGGATAGCTACACAAAACAGGGTCCGTCCCGCCCTGGAAAACCGTTCGCCCTAAGAGGAAGGAATCCCGACACCGGCTACACTGAGTACGAACGAGGAGGACATGGTCCCCAGCGAGGTCTGCCCGGTGCGGAGGGACTGATCCCGAAGGATCGACCCCAGGAGGCCCCAGAGGAGTCGGACCCACAGACACCGGGCGGGGGCGGGGGTCAACGTCTAACAGGACAGAGTCCAGCGTGGGCAGACGACCACGTTCTGGGGACGGAGGGAGGGAGGGTGCGCAACGGTGTGAACGCGCTGACGCCCCCAGACTGTGCACTTTAAAGCGGATAAGATCGTCACTTTTATGTCCTGTGTATGTCCCCACAATGGAGAGTAAGTAAGACGGCCCCTGGCCTACAGTGTGTGGGGTGGGGTGGAAACAGCGTCTCGGGGGCTCAGCCCCTCTGCCAGGCTTCCCCAGCAGAATTACAGGTGCGAGGGGCCCAGACACACCTGCAGCAGGTGGGCGAGGGCGGGGCCTCCCATCCAGCTCCCCGCCCTGGCCAATCACAAGCCGCCTGCACTGCCGTCCAGGAGGGCACGCTGAGGGGCCTTGGTTACCAATGTTCCCGTTGGGGGGACCCCAGAGCAAGGGGCTTGGGGCCAGGGGCCAGGGAGCCCAGAGCTTCACACCCCCACCTCCAAAGGAGGTGCTACGTGTCCTCTCCGACTCCAACCACCCCGTGCCCCACTGGGCAGCGACTCCAGTTCTGTTCGCCCTGGGGCCTGCTTAGCCAAAGGCCGGGGCTGGCTTTCCAGTGAGGACAGGGCAGGGGCGGGCAGCTGCGGTTTCGGTCCCCTTCACGGCTCCTGCAGGAGAGACGGGGGCCTCACCCCCAGGGCACCCGTTCACAGAGCTGGCCCTCCTGGGAGGGGCTGCAGCAGGAGGACCCCTGAGAGCACCAGGGATGGGCTTGGGGCCTCAGTGGCCACTGAGAGCAGCAAGGACTGGAGTGCTCTGGGCAGAATGAGAGGGCTGGGCCTTGGGCCCCCATGTCCTGCACCACATCTGCTTCCGTCAGATTTGTTCAAAAGGGAAAACAGGAAAGCAAAGAAACGGCGGGTGGGGGACTGCGGGGTGTTGTTTTGCCAGGACAAGGTCCCAAGACTTCCGGCTGGCAAAGAACAATGCTGTCGGTGGGGGTGAGTGCGGCCTTGCGGGGGCCTGGCAGCCTGGGGGGCGGGGGCTGGCAGCCCGGAGGAGGGCAGGCTGGCGCAGCGCTGGACCTGGGGCTGACCCCGGGGTGGACCCAGGCTCACAGAGGGACACCAGCCACACCCCAGCCAGACACCCACCCGCCCTGCCAGGCTCTCCCAGGACGCTGTCCCCACCTGGCCAGCTCCGACCGTGCCGACAGCCTGCTCTTAGATAGGTACTTCCTCTAGGAGCAGTCCCTGGCCCCCGTGAGGCCCCCGTGAGTGAGCCCCCAGGGCAGGGCAGGCCTGCTTTTCAGTGCATCCCACGCAACCACTTGCCAATGCCACAGGCCGCCGGCTCCTGGTGAAGCCACTGACTCGGGGTCAGGAACAGCCACGTTACCCACGGGCCAGCGCCCCACATGCACAATGGCTCCAACCCTATCTGCAGTCCAGGAGGGAAACTGAGGCCCTGAATGTGACCTGACAATAGCAGGTGGGCGGGGCTGGCTCAGATCCCTGGGAAGCAGCCTGCCCTGGGTCCTAGGGCAAGCTCTGGGCCGCCCAGGCAGCAACCTGGTCAAGTCCCCTCCCTCAGGGGACGGGGAGGGGGCCGGTGCACAGCCCACTTCCTGGCCTACGGGGTCCTCAGACCCCCTCAGCACCCACCTCGCCTACTGCTGGCCCAAGACCAGGATGCACCCAGGCGGGCAGGGAGGGTGTCCCACACAAACCCAAAACCCGAATGTCTCCTGGCTCTCGGGCTTTTCCCCCTGGGGTGGGAGCTGAGGACAGCCAGGCCCCAGGGCCAAGGGCACGACCCTGGCAGGGACCCTGTTGCCCTGGCCCCAGGACAGCCTGGGGAGGCTAGGGAGGTGTGGGCTGCTTGAACATTACTGCGCCCACGGCCATCTCAGGGTGGGCCTGGCTCCGACCACCCAGAGCAGAAGCGACAGGCTTCTCAGCGGGGTTCCCAAGGGAGCCCGGGCTTCCCCAGCATACGGCGGCCCGGGTAGGGCCGGTGACTTGTCCAAGGTCATCGTGGAGTCAGGCACACCCCCACGCTCGGGCTGGCTGGGAGATGACCCCGGGGAGGTTCTGTCTTTCTGAGAGCGTTTCTGTGTGTCCCAAGTCTTCCATTACAGAAAAGCAAACCTTACCTCTTTTAAGTGGGGAAAGAGGCAAGGATCAGGCGTGGTTTCTGGGCCTCCGGGGTGGGGGCCGCGCGGGGGAGGGGGTCCAGCCGTGGGGAGGGGCTTCTTCAGTCCCGGGGGCAGGGTCTGCCAGCCCGCAGCATCCACCGCCCCTCCGCCCGCCCCATCAACGCCCCCTCCCCAACCCCTCCCGGCCCCACAGCCGCCCCAAGGCCACGCAGCGCCTGGAACACCGCGGCCCGCAGCCGGCCCCCAGGCTGGCCGCCGCGGCCTGCACCAAAGCCGGGCAGGCGGGCGCCTACCTGCAGGCCCTTGGAGAAGGGGCAGAAGAGCACCAGGTGCGCCAGGCGCCGCAGCCGCCGCATGGTGGGCCCCCGGCGTGCGCGGGCCCGGCTCGGCTCGGCCTCAGCCCCGAGGGCCGGCCCGCAACGGCCGCCCTCCGCCGCCGCCTCCCCGCGCGCCCGCGCCCGCGCGCGCGTCCACGTCCACGCGAGGGCGCACTCCGCCGGCCGGCCCGGGCGGGGGCGCGGGCGCGGGGCCGGAGAGGGGGAGGGGCGCGGGAGAGGGGCGGGGGCGGGGGGAGCGCGGCGGGGGCGCGCGGGGGAGGGGCGCCCGCGGCCCCGCCCCGCCCCGCGCGCCCCCGCGCGCCCCCGGCATCTGGGCGGCGGGGCTGTCACCGCGGGCGGTCGCGGAGGCCCGGGCTGAGGGGGAGGGGCGGCGCGTGGCGGCGCGCGGGGGCAAGGCCCGGGCCTGGCGGGGCGGTGGACTCCGTGCGAGCGCGCGCGGTTCCGGCCGGCGGCGCCTCCCGGCCCTCTCCGTCCCAGCCCCCGCGGCCCCGGCCCTGCTCGTCGCCCAGCGTCCAGAAACCAGGCGCGGCGGGGACGGCCTCGGGGTCGGTCCTGTCGCCGGCGCCAGCAATGCCGTGCCCTGGGCCCGGGCTGGGTCAGCGTTCGCCGCGGACGTGGGGTGGCCACGGCGCAGCCGCCGTGAACTTCCGCGCGGGGTTCCGCGTGCAGGTGGGTTTTCCCGCCCGGCGGACAAGCGCGGGAGGCCTGCGGGCAGGTGCGCTCCCTGCTGCTGCCGCTTGGGGGCGCGCGCAGCCGGGCTTCCGCGCTCCGCATTTCCCCGTGGACAGACGGTGCTGAACCACCTATAGATCTTCTCTCCCGAAACCTACATTTAATTCTTTCCGGTCGAATCTGACTGTCGGATTTGTTTCCTTGTTCCTCGGTCCGGGAGTCCCCCGACTTCCAGATACCACTGCGCACCAAGATGCTCCGCCTGACCCGGGGCTTGTCTTTCAGTGAGCAGGAGCTCCTCACCGTGAAGTCCAAGTGACCCGTTTTTCCCGTTTACAGTCTGTGGTCTGTTGCCTGCCGTGTCTGAGAAATCCGACTAACCCAGCAGCGCAAACATCTGCTGTGTTTTTTTCTAGGGTTTTCCCTACAGCAGTGTCTCCCCTTACCCTTGGTCTCAGTTCCCGTGGCGGCCCCGGTCCGGGCGCAGGTGACCCTCCTTCGGACGGATGCCCGGCCGGCAGTGGCTTCCTACTGTGCCACGCACCTGCACCCCGCACCTCCCTCCTCCCGCCATGTGGGCCTCTCGTCCTCGCATGGCGTCCAAGAAGGGTGAGCCCAGGGCAACGTGGTATCTGGAAAGCGAGACCACAGCCACATGACGCTATTGCAGCGCGCGGTTACTGTCCCTATTTTACTATCAGCTGCGTCCTCATTTCCTTCCTGTGCCTCGTTTACAAGCTGACCTCGACTGCGGCGCGGGCCCTGCGGGAGACAACGGAGTCCCTATAGGGGTCAGCACTCTCCGTGGTTTTCTCCGTGGTTTCAGGCGGCCGCTGGGGGGGGGTTTCGTGTAGGTCGATGATTCTGTTTGAAGCTAACTTTTGTCCATGGTGTGGGTTATAGGGCAAGGTAGGATTTTGTGTTTTGGTTTTGTGTTTTGGGCTGTTGTTGGGCTTTTTTGCACATGGGTGTCTGTTTGTTCTAGCAAATTTGTTGAAAGACGAGCTCCTGTGTGATTCTGTGGCAGAGTGCTGCGTGGGCCACGGCCCTGCCAACAGCTTTCCCCCAGCACCAGGGGGGCGGGCTTTCGACAGGTTCCCCCCGGCCGGATTCCCCGCGATGCTGTGGGCACCACAGTGACTTCTCTGCCATCCTGGGACCCACGGTCTCTCCCTGGGGCCGGGGGCCTCCAGCTCAGCCCTAGCGGGTCTCCCCGTGTCTGCTCTTCAGGCCGTCCTGTGGCAGACTCCCTGTGTACATCGCCACATGGCTTCTGTCACCTGATGGGACCCTGGCTGGTACAGGTCAGGTGCAGAAAGGGACTCAAGCATCTTTACCAAACTTACCAACGCCCACTGCACCCTACGCTTTGGACCACGGGCTCACCCTCAACCAGATGCTCATTACCCTTGAACTTCGGGCCATGCCAGCCACATGGGAGAGTCCAGGCAGCTGGACCAGAATGAAGTTTATGTCCGTAGTCCCCTTTTTGGACCCCCAGGCTGGCCAAAGGATGCCCTGCTCAGGAGGATCTGGATGGGATCCTGATGGCCCCACCCCCACGCTTTCATCCTGGTCTTTACTGAGGAGGTAGTTCAACCACGGGGCCCAGGCTGGGAAGGGGGCGCAGAGTTGGAGCCAGAAATCTTCATCGGTGAACTTGGGAGAAGGCTGTTCCAAGGCTCGGCAACAGCAGGGACCGGGGCGGCAGGACATGTGGACCAGCCCACCGTGGGTGGCCTTTGTGATACAAGGAGCGCCGTTGTCACCTGACAAGAGAGAATTGACGCACGCATCCCGTGTGTCAGGGGCCACGAGGGCGTGACCGCCGATGGCTCGGCTTGGAAAAGCAGCCCGTGCTGAGGGAGGAGCCCAGAGACCGGGTTGAAGTCTGATGGAGTCAGCTTGCCAGGAGCTGGGGCTCACTGTCTGGGGACTGTGAGATGGGGGACCACGCCGTGGGCAGGAGTCCCGTCTGCTGTGCAGTGACCACCTCTGCATCCGGAGTACGAAGTCTGGTGTGTCGCCCCTCCTTTGGGAAGCGGGGCCACGAGGGATCCGCGGGGGCGACAGTGGCCCATGGGGCGGTGGGGCTGCTCGGTGGGTAGAGAGCAAGCACCTGCCGTCCTGGGTATCCACAAGTGACCCAGTCAGCCAGCGGCTGTCACTTATACCCATGGCACGCAGCCCCAAAGTGGGGTGTCTTTTTTTAAATTTTATTTATTTATTTGACAGACAGAGATCACAAGTAGGCAGAGGGGCAGGTGGGCAGAGAGAGAGGAGGAAGCAGGCTCCCCGCTGAGCAGAGAGCCCAATGTGGGGCTCGATCCCAGGACCCTAGGATCATGACCTAAGCCGAAGGCAGAGGCTTTAACCCACTGAGCCACCCAGGCGCCCCAAGTGGGGTGTCTTTAATGTGTGATTTTGCAAGTGGCAAACCGTACTGGTTTCCTGGGATTGCTGTGACAACGTCATGGACTGAACGGCTGACGACAAAGGGACCGGTTCTCCCAGTTCTGGAAAGAAGTCTGCAGGCAAGGTGTCAGCGGGCTTGGCCTCCCTCTGCAGGCGCCGGGGGACAGTCCCTGCCTCTGCCGGCTGCCGGGGTCGTGGGCCATCCTTGCCGCTCCGGGACTCGTAGCTGCATCCCTGTGGCCTCCGCTCGCCCTCTGGCAGGCTGCCTGTGCCCCTGTGTGTCCCCTCTCTGCCTTTGTGTCCTCACGTGGTCTTCCAAGAGTTATTTCCAAAGCGGGCACATTCTGACTTCCCGGGGGAGGCTTGGGGGCACCCTCCCACTCACCGCACAGAGGAAACAGCCAAGAGTTCATGTAAGTTGAGGGGCCCCAGAATACAAGCGGCTTCATCAGGAGCAGCGCGTGTTTTGTCTTCCACTCAGCACGCCAAGGGCTGGGAACCCATGCTGTCCAGGGACTTAAACTCCTGCGCTTTTCGTGTTGGTGTTCTCAAGACATGGTTTCTGTCTTGGAGTCGAAAGTGGCTGCTCCAGCCCCAGCCGTCACCTCCACACTCCAGCAAGAGGAAGCGCAAAGCCTTTCCATTTAAGGACCTGGACCTCTGTTCCCACTTCGGTCTCAGTCCCTGCAAGCTTAGTCACATGACCAGCCTGGCTGCAGAAAAGCGTGGAAATGCTGTCCTCCTCTGGAGAGCCACATGTCCCACTGGAGCTGGGACCCCATAGTCTTGGGCACAAGTCACAGGAAAAACGGAGAAATGGAGACTTGGGCCCCTGGACACATCACTCTTCCGGTAGCCCATCCCCCTGCCCCAGGCCCCAAGTGGCCTTGGACTGAGGTCAGGGGTCACGTCATCCCCTTCAGACAGGCATTCTGGGAGGGGTGGAGAATGGGGGCCTAGCACATGGTGGGGATGCCATCAGGCCTGGGGAAGGCGATGTCCGCACAGAGACCTAGAAGAGGAGGGCGGGGGTGGGGCCAGGGAGGAGCGGGCTTCTAGGCAGAGGAACAGAGTGCGCGGAGGCCCGGAGACAGCCGCTTGGACCAGTAATGGAACTGTACGCGTTCCAGCAGGGTGTGGAGGGGGAGGACTCAGCTGGCAGCAGTGTCCTGAGGAGGCTTGGTGGGGAGTCTGGACGCGGAACTTCAACCCAGGGAGCCTAGGATTCCGTGGAAACCTGCCCAGACCAAGGGCCAGTGCCCCAGAGGGCTCCCTCTGGCTAGGAAACGAGGCTGGAGCACAGGGTTTTGCCCGAGGGCCGCTGGTAGCCCAGGGCCCCTCCCCAGCAGGGCTGTGCATTGTACGCATGCAGAGAAGGGACACTCTTTCAGTGCGGGGTGCGGGGGGTGCTTCTGGAGAGAAGAGGACGCTTGGGAGATCTCAGGACAGTAGGGGCACCCCTCCAGGCCAGAGGGATGGGTGCAGGGGTTGGGGGGGGTCGGGAAGGACGGGCTGGATACTGTCAGGAGCAGAGGGCCACCTCCCCAGGCACTTGGGGTCATCTCTGTCTGCCCGGGGACAGCCAGGGGTAGGAGTCACAGGGCTCCCAGATGACAGTCCCACTGTGTCCTGTTCTCCTCTCAGAAGGGCGCCGGCTGGGATGCAGGGCCCATCCAGGCAATCCAGGGTTCCCTCCCCGGAGATCCTTGGTCATCTCTGCGAAGGTCACCAGTAAGGTCACACCCCTAGGGGGACATAATTGCCGTGTGGGAGCGTCATTCCTCCCACTACAGGGACAAAAACGAATTGCAAAGCAAAGCCGCGTGTGTAGAATGAGACTGTTTGTTTGTCACGAGCCTGTGTGTTGTTAGTAAATGTGCGTGTGCACGTGTGTGTGCGTGCACACTAGAACACACGTGCACATGTCTGCCCTGGCTAAGGACGGGCCACGAGAAGGTGGCCAACAGCCGTGGCTCCTTCAGGGGACGCAGAGGGCTGCCGTCCCATCTGGAGTAACACACGCTGGATTCAGTATTTC